AATAGTCATAGTATAGTCAGTACATTTTAAACTAGTAACTGTAGCCCTGTATGCTGCTATAAATCCTCTATTTTACCCTGCACTCAGATGTAATTCTCTGTAACTGCCAAAGAAATTCAAATGTTCTTTCTTGCATTGAAGGTAACCTCTAGGTTTGCATACAAAGCTGTTCAGCTGCCTGTGTTTTAGTGCATCAGGAAAGGAGAGGTGCAGTGTCCAGCTCTGCTGCATGCAACCTACCAACAATTATATCAACCTGGAAAAACCTTGCGCTTAGTGTAAGTATTTAAGGAACCAACACTTAGACTGTCTGAATACAAGATTAAATAAATATGAAAGGAAAAAGGTGTGTTATCTCTTTAAAAATACTATAATGTGAAAACATATATATATAAATAAGTTTTTATTGTAAACAATTTAAGAAATATAACTTTCACACTGAATAAATTATACCTGCTGGAACGTATCAATAGTTCAGGGAAACAACAAAAAGTTCCCTTCAACAAGTGTGCTTTGAAAGAATGTACTTCAATTCATTGACATCTTTAGTGTTTCCACACCAATAGTGTACACAAATGGGAATAACCTCTAAACTATAGGAAGTCTTCAGCATTTGTGGTTGTAAATGTCAAAGCATCCCCAGCATACTTTATCTGCAGCATTCCACAGACAAGGCCGCAATGATCTTAAACCTAGCCTCAAATTGGCAAACATGGAGAAGGGAACAAACACAGACTACATCATGTGATACTGCTTCATAAGAATCAAACATATCCACAAAAAAAGGTACTCACAAAGAGAAGTATAGGAGACAAGCATGTAAACACCACCACATTTGAACAGGTGGACATGATGACGTCATGACTAGGCTCCATCTGAAGCATTTCTGTTAGATCCTTTCTCCTGACAAAGTCATCTTGTGATAAAACACATTGAGAGGAGATTAGTTGTGACGTCTTCATGTCCGCTAGCTGGAGCGTGGTGGTGTTTACATGCTTGCCTCCAATACTTCTCATTATGAGTGGCTTCCACTAGCCCAACGTATAAAATTCAAAATACAATTCAAGATACTAACCACAACATACAAGGTCATCCACATCGCCCCCAGCTACATCACCAACCTCATCTGCACATATTGCTCAAACTGTCCTCTCCACTCCTCCCAAGACCTCCTGCTCTCTAGTTCCTTTATTACCTCCTCCCACGCTCGCCTCCAGGACTTCTCCAGAGCCTCTCCAATCCTCTGGAACTCCTTGCCCCAGTATATCCGGTTAGATCCTGTCCACCTTTAGACGATCCTTGAAAACTCATTTATTCCGGGAGGCCTACCCCACCTCCACCTAAGAACTGCACTTGAGTCACCTCCATCAGATCATCCCCGGCAGCTATTACCTTTTGTACCACCTCCCCCTCCCTTTAGATTGTAAGCTCCATGAGCAGGGCCCTCCAGTTCCTTCTGTATCGAACAGTATTGTAATTGTACTGTCCCCCTTATATTGTAAAGTGCTGCGTAAACTGTTGGTGCTATATAAATCCTGTATTATAGTAATAATAATATTAATAATGAGTACATTTTTATGAACACATTTAATTCTTATGAAGCAGTATTACACGATGTGGCCGGTGTTTGTTCTCTCCATGTTTGCTAATCTGAGCCTGGATTTAAGATCATCATTTAGAGAAATTAGAATTCTGTGCGTACAAGACTAGATACTTTAATTGCGTGTAAACACATGTAAACATGACTAAATGCGGCTAACGCTGCTTTCAAGTAGGAACATCTAAATGCAGGAAAAAGTGATCTGATAGGCATGAAAGTTGTTTATATTTCCCAAATGACTTCTACTGAGTGTAGAAAAACAGGCGTGCCATTGTGAATGAAGCTTGAATGTTTGAGAGCAAATTTCAAGAAACCTGTTGTAGCATCCAGGTCAGTGTTCAGGTTTACTGGGATTCAAATCCAGAGGGATTGACGTGTACAATACTCCTTATTACAAGAATACGGTTGTTTCATTATCATAAAGGCAGATCCTCCCGTTTAGTACTCATTATGAAAGATTTCAGCAAGTGCACTAAAATTGCCTTTCTCAGCGTCTACATAATAGAAAAGAAGTAAGGATATACAATAATGTTTGCTTAAACCCTAGCAATGTATATTGATGATTTAGATGGGACTATTTTTCTTTCTCAGAAAAACTTTATTTTCCCCCAAAACCAGCATATGGTTTAGATTTAGATTCTTTTTTTTTTTTTAATAAATCTATGTGACTAAACTATGGCACTGGTACATTCACACAAGCTATTCCAATTAAGAATTGTTCTTTAATGAAGTGCAAAAACATTTTTAAAAAGTTATTTTTCCTTATGAGTACAACAGCAGACACGCACGGTGCATATTTTCTTAGAACATTTTTTCTCCAGTACACTCACACCCCAAAGCCAAATTCAAACGGCATTTACAGCAAGCCAGCATCCAATTCCCAGAAATCCTAAACTCAAACCAATTTTTTCTAGCTTTGGGGAGAGCTGAGGAAGTGTTAAGATTCTCAAGGCTCTCCTAAAATATAGTGTCAGTTAGTGCCCCAGCAGATGCAGGGTATGATGCTTGTTTTGTCAAGAGAGGATCTAACAGAGAGTAATACTTACCTTATTTCACAGTCATCGCCTTATCAGGTTGGTTGTGTTGCTGACGCCATCAAATACAGTACAGGACCAACGGCCATCTCACTGAAGGCCCACCATATTCCGGGGCAGAAGAGAAGATCGCAGAACTGTGAATTAGGGTATTACTCTTTATTAGACCCCTCCTATATAAATCAAGTATTATATCCGACATAAGGTTTTGGGGCAGCCCAGGGATTATCTTTTACAGTGGTTGTAGACCCTTACATATACCTAGTGAAGTGACTGGCCTCAAGTGATTCACAGAGATGAAACAAATCCTCCTGCATAACTTTTTGCAGTTTTCTCTTTTTTACATCCATTCAAAATTCAGAATTTATAAAGTTTGTCTGAGCTGACAGAAAAAAAGGGGGCGGAGAGCTGAAATTACACACTGCAGAGCTCAGTGAGGAGAGCTCTGAGAGCTGATTGGAGGGAAGGGACACACCCCCTCCACACAGCTCAATCTGCTGGAGCTCCTTCCCCTGTCACCATTTTTCTCTCGGTGTCGGGAAAACTTGTTAGAAGTGATTCATGCTGATAGCAGAGGAATGAGGCAACAGACAGAAATGACACTTTGTGCTCCTAATTGAGACATGTACACACTATAGAGGGATATGCTTTGTTCATATTTCATGTCTGAGGTTTACAACCACTTTATCCTCTGTCAAGTTTTTATTGCTGTGAGATTACCCTCACTTTTTATCCTGAGGACCACCTTCATTAGGATAGAGAGTGAGGGGAAATTTTATATTTTAGAGTTCTTACTGGAGCAGTACATGAAAAATAAACCCAGTAGGGATAACTGTTCCAATGACAATTTACCAGGGTGAGACTTCCCTTCACTTTGGGTTATTCCATCTGTCACTGATACAGGCAGTAGGGGGAAAATGTCCAGCGTGAACCTAGAGAGCAGTTAAAATCTAACCTACTTGAAGATCCTTAGAACTTCAACCCGCTGGCTGAACGAAAAAAACTGACTCATATAAGTCCAGCTTTATGCAGGGGGCTCTTATGTACAATGGATGACACAAGCACTTTTTCCTCTATTAAAGAAGAAAGAATAATGTTAATATTGCTTGCCTGTGAAGTCTTGTCCAGTTGCCCTCCACCCTATAGCAGAAGTACTGCTACAGGGCGGCAGTGCGCACGCACCACCCTATCCGCGCAGCTATGGACATTCTGTTTTGTACAGCAGAGAGATACAAAGCAGCATGTCTTCCTAGTAGCACACAGCACACAGTAAAACACACACAGCACACAGTTAACCCTGATGTTAACCCCTCCCTGCCCAGTGTCATTAGTACAGCTTTTTATTAGCACTGGTCACTGTATAAGTGTCACTGAGGATGTCAGTGGCAGTTAGTCAGTTCCCCCCAATGTCAGAATGCCCGCCACAGTTCCGTAATAAGTCACTGATTGCCATCATTACTAGTATAAAAAAAATAAAAATAACAATTCCAGTATACATACTGCCATTGGTAGACGCTATAACTTTCAATTAATTGACACATGTAGCAGAATACATTTTGGCCTACATTTATGAAGAAATTTTATTTAAAACATTTTTTATTAGATATGTTTTATAGCAAAAAGTCAAAAATATTGTATTTTTTTGTTTATAGCATAAAAAATAAAAAGCGCAGAGGTGATCAAATACCACAAAAAGAAAGCTCTATTTGTGGGAAAAAATGACATAAATTTCATTAATGTACGGCGTTGCATGACAGCACAATTGTCAGTTAAAGTAATGCAGCGATGTATCGCAAAAAATGGTCTGGTCAGGAAGGGGGAGAAATCCTTTGGAGGGCAAGTGGCTATTGTTGCTATGAGGCCTACACTTGATTTACAAAGCACAGGGCACTGTCATCTTCTGGTGTTCATGCATGATTTTATATAATTATGAGTATTGTGGGAATAGTGGTGGAATAGATGGTGACCTGACCTAGTTCAAAAAAATATCTAGCACATGCTACCTTTATTTTTACATATATTTCCTAAAACCTAAGCAATGAAAACCTGAATTTAGAGAGTGGTGGGTTATCTACAGAGACTTCTCACATTGCAATATACATGCTGAATACATTTTATACTTCTCTTAAACTCCAAATAATGTATCAAAACAGAGCACCATACATCAGTTATGTGACCGCATCTCTGGCAAAGGCTTTTTTCTCCAATGAGAAGAATTATTATAATACTGTTACTATAACAACACGAATTAATACCTATTCGATTTTATCATCTAAAAATCCATTCTATTTTATTTCCTCTGTGATTAGACCATTGGAACAATTTCCCATTGTATGCAAATACTAGTGGTAAATTTATTGTTATACCTGTTCTAGTTCATAGGCTTTGGCTTTATCCTCATCCCGGTCAGCGTTCTTCCTATACGCCATCCCCAGGCCCCACACAGCCAGGATGCTGTACACGTTGTCTCGAACCCATGCATCTTTCTGTTCCTTACTGGCAGGGAGCAGTCCAGTGACTGGATTCTACGGAAATACAAAAAAACAGATATTAAAGATAGGACACCACTTGCTGGCTAATTAACATTTAAAGTGGACCTAAACACAAAACATGAAGATATGTTATAGGAAACATCTCAAAATGTTAACGGTGCTTAAACAGTACCCTAAAAATTAAAGTTTCACATAAAAATTTTTTTGGTTTTATTAATTTTTTATAAAGTTTTTGTCATATTACAGATAAGAAAACATTGAAAGTATAGAAGACCACACAAGACTATCATTCAACACAACAAGGCATGTTATTAATCTCTTATAGCAATCAGATGTGCGTTAAAAATTAAAATCCCAGGAATATTTTATCCCGGGATTGTAGTTAGGGGCAAAATTACTTAAAGAGGATCTAACGGCCTAAGGTTTTTTTAATTTAATGCATTCTCTGCATTATGGTAAATAAACCTTCTTTGACCGGGACCCCCCCCCCCCCCCCCCCCCCAAATACGTACTTGTTCCCAATCTCAATCCAAAGAGCAGTGGCTCTCTCTGCTCTCATTCTCTCCTCATAGGGCAGATGGGCAGCAGCGAGAGCCATTGGCTTCTGCTGCTGTCAATCAAATCCTGTGAGATGAAATAGGAGGGCGGTCCAAGCCACGCTTTCTATGTCTATGGATGCAGGCAGCACAGCTTGGGATTGAGCCTGCACAAGTGCCCACATAGGAGGTAGCTTCTTTTGGGGGCACTCACTGAAGAGAAGCAGCCAGGAGTGCTGGCGAGGGACCCCTGAACAGGAGGTTCAGGGGTGCTCTGTGCAAAATCACTGCACAGAGCAGATAAGTATGGCATATTATTTTATTTTATTTTTTTAAAGAAGGTTTAGAATCACTTTAAAAATAGTGAATCTCTGTGGTAGGTGATCAGAAAGAAAAAAAGGAACAGTGTCCAGGAAAGATCAGCAGAGGAAATAAAGGGGAAGGCCAAGCAGTGGAACAGGTAGGTAGGGAAAGGGAGGGGAAAGGAGAAAAGAGAGAAGAGAGAGAGAGGGGGAAAAAGGTGGTGGTGGAGGGGAGAATAGTAGGAGAGGAAGGAATAACTGGCGTTGTTAGAATGGGTTCACAATGTCAAGGACCTCATTAAGAAAATAGTAAGAAGGGTACGGTCAAAGTCTACGGCAAAGTAGTATGTAATCCAGGGCTCTCAGATTTTGTGAAATTTTGATAGGCTATCATCCAGTGTGGCCACCGTTTCATATGTCATGCACATATTAATGCAAATTTAAGCTCCTCAATACCGATATTTGGCTTTCTCCAAGACCTAGCTATTGCCTGGTTTGAGGCAGTAAAATTATGGGTGAGTAAACAGATTTTTAATTTAGTAAATTCAGACATTTTTGATTCAGAAGGGCTTCGACCGGGTTCTTTGGTTGGGATCTATCTAGAAAACTTTAAATTATCTGGTAAGTTTGAGACCAAAAACAACATGTGCTCTCAGCACTGCACCCACTAAAACACCAGGAGGGTACCCTGATATCATTCATGAAAGACAATGGTACCAAATAGCAACTAATAATTGTATTCCATGGTTAGGACATTAATAGGACTCTTTGTTTTGTTGGACTAGATTTCATGTCAATCCTCTAAAGAGATAGGTCTCCATTTTTTATCCTTTAAAGTTTCCTGATCACGTACCCCTGGCATAGGCTCCTTTGCCTTCAGTTCCTGTATCTCTGTGTGTGAGCAGTGCACATAGCTTGTGATCAAATACACCAGCCTTCTGAAACGAGAATCCCATCTATCTACCAGCTAAATTAACTACACATACATGCTCTTTTTGTTCCTGCTATTGCACTGGAGACCATGGCGGAGTTTATTGAACAGTAATTTTCTCTGTTCTTTTACATGCCAGTGCTGGATGCGGTTTCATGTAATACTGTAGTCTGTGTCGGAAATGAGAAGCAAAGAGTGGCTGCATTCCCACATACAGCGGGACCATTTAGATTGAAAGTAGCCACCGTAATAAAGGAAGTTCTAGATGAGAAGTTTTAAAACCTATTTTCTATGGCTGTAGGGTTGCCACCTCACCCCTTGAAGCCAGAACACATATTAACCACTTCAAGTTCAGACATTTTCACCCCCTTCCGGTCCAGGCCAATTTTTAGCTTTCAGTGCTATCACACTTTGAATGACAATTGCGCGGTCATGCAACACTGTACCCATATAAATGTTTTTGCTTTTTTTTAGATAGATAAAACTTTATTTTGGTGGCATTCATTCACCACTGGGATTTAAATTTTTTTGCTATATAAATGCAAAAGTCCCAAATTTTTGAAAAAAGGGTGTTTTTCTTATAAAATTTTGCAAATAAATAATCTTTCTTTATAAATCTTGGCCAAATTGTATTCATCTATGTTTTAGTTAAAAAAAAAAAAAAAACAAATTAGTCTATAACCAAAAATTATACTTTTTCAAAAAAAATTTCTACATTTTTATTTTATATTATTAGTTTTTTTTTTAACATACTGTCACCCTAGCAGTACAGTGTCACCATAGTGACACTGTACTACTTGTGGGGGGTGATGAAGATTTTTTTTTTCTTTTTTACACTGATTGCTTTTACTCCCATAAAGGCTGTAAAAGCAATAATTTCTCCTTTTTTCTGGCTGCATTCCTGCAGCCATTGACAAATACTGTGAGAGCTGTGATTGGTCACAGCTGGTCACATGGTACAAGGCTGTTGTGAATAGCCTTGTACCATGTGACCTCTGTGATCATTCACAGATTTCACACGTAGTAAGCAATGATGTCAGGAAGTGACATCTTGTTTACTACTATTCATGTGATCACTGATTGGACCTCACACAGAAGTCCCGCACAGCGATCTGTGTCCGGACACAGCGGGCACCGATCGCAGTGCTGCACGCTCCCAGAGAGCGCGCACAGGCAATGTATGCGGGAGGATGTTTAGAAACGTCAACCTGCATAGGCAACGCTCCTGTCCGGCCATTTATCTACATGGGGCAGACGGGAAGTGGTTAATTACACGGGTTCTGAGGCTAAATTAATGCATATAAGGCACTAAGGGGTCAATTCACTAAGAGATAAATACCGCCTGAATTTTCGAGTTAAAATAACTCATGCGGTATTTTTTTCAAAAGTGGTCAATTCACTAAAAAGCATGCGTTATTTACTGCATGCGTGAAATATTTATGCAATGCGATATTTAGCACCTAAATCTTGCGTTATTTTTAGGGGGTTTTTTTTTTTTCCGTTTTTTTTCAGGCTAACATTGCACCAGAATGCACACATTAATACTGCGAAACAATGAAAACATTGTACTGTACTTTCATTCACAAAATGATCTCCCTCTGATGAAATATTTTATTCTCATTCCTGAGCTCAGAAGAGAACATTTTTACACTGATTCATTGTATACTGTTAACTTTCTGGCCAGTGCAGAGTTCCTCTAATTGTCATTTGTACATTTCTAAAATACCGCCAGCAAACACATGGTGATAAATAATGAATGTGTGTTTTTTAATGAATTTGACTTAATTATTTATCTCATGTTTTTTTTTTGCGGTAATTATCTCACTATTTTAGCAAATATGCAGTATTTACCTCATATTCGATATTGTACTTTGATGACTTGACTCTTTTATTATCTCATACGATAATTTATGCAAATGAGCCATGTGATCGTGTTATCGCATGCGGTAACCTTTAGTCAATTGACCCCTAAGTGAGTTTAATTACCACCTTAATCAGCCACAAAACCTGTGTAATTAATATGTGTTTGGTTTTAGAGTTAGAGGGATGAGGTGACAACCCTATATGGCTGTGATGCCCAACGCTGCTGTTAGAAGGAGCGCAGATAGCCAAAACTACAGGTACTAATCCATCCTGAAAAATGGATGTACTTCCAGTGCTCTGATCCTAATAGCTACTGTATATATCTGCAGTACATCCAAGACTGAGACTGTTAACCCTACCAGATTTGGAGAGGGATCTGGTCAAGTCACTACTGAAATCTAATACATGATTTGTAACACCGAAACATCTATTATACAACCCAGTCTGAAATGTCAAATTTCTTTTGAATTTAAAGCTGGCCACAGATTGGTCCGTTTTTTTTTCATTTAACCAAAAAAAAAAAAAAAAAAAAAAAAATACTGACTTGATTCCCTATCCACACACGGGTATCCTTCCCGCTGAGCTATTGTATTCTGACAGAGGGATACCTCCCCGCTGTCAGAATGCACTGATCAGTGTTAAAGGGTACAGCCTCAGTCCTCATGCACACTTGACGTTTTTACAGCTGCTGTTTTTGGCTTTTGATGTTTTTTTTTTCTACAGCTAGTAAACCCGCAAGCATGTTATCCTATGTGTCCATGCACATATAGACTGTAATCAACCTTTTTTGGCTGGGACGTTTTTTGGCTGGAAAAAAAAACAGAACTAGTGGAGTTTTTTAACTGGAAAAACGCTGGAAAAAAAAACAGAACTAGTGGAGTTTTTTAACTGTAAAAACGCTCTAACGCTGAAAAACACGGCAAAACGCCACTAAACGCTAATGCAAAATGCTAAAAAAAAGATGAAAAACTCACGTTTAATGTGGCTTTACACAGCTAACGTTACCAGCGTTATCAAAACGTCCAATGTGCATGAGGTCTTATAGTGTATAAGAGTATAACTGACTGAGTGGAGAAAATCTGACAGGGCGGTTGTACAAAAGAACATTGGTAGACTGACTCCTGTACAACCACCCTGTTCCATACATTGATCGAAATTCAGTTGGTCCCTGCTGAACCGGACAAATTTTGGTTTATGTATGGCCACTGTAATACATTTAGATTGTAAGCCCCTTGAAGGTTAGGGGCTGATGTGAATGTACAATATATATACAGTATATATGTAAAGCGCTGCATAAATTGACAGAGCTTAATAAGCACCTGAAATAAATAAAAATAAAAAAATGTAACACCTAAATTATTCTAAAGGTCTCAACCTATTCTTTTTTAATAAATCCAGAAGTC